TTTATCACTTTTATGATTTGAATGCATGAATTGCTGCCTTTCGTGACTATTGTTTGATTGAAAAATTGAAATATGATTGCATTCCCCAATGCATGTTTGTTTATTTATGCGATCATGATTAATTTAGAAAATAGAGACTAAAGAAAAATGAGAAAGTTGTGTGGTTAAATAATCATATGGAACGGCAACCTTATTAGATATTCTGAGAGATGGTGGACGGATCAGGTACATAGGAAACCTTGTCGTGAACGTTGTTTCATACCGGATGGAGTATGGAGATTTAGTAATTTGGCGCTCATACCGGACGGGTATGGGGACGACCCGCTTCACCCTCATACTGGACGGGGATATTAAGGTTTAATAATTTAATGCTCATACCAGACGGGGTATGGGGACGGCCTGTAATTGAGATTGTTAAAGGAAAGGGGTCACGTGTAGCTGGGACATCCCTATGAACCCCTATGGATACTAGTAGACTGGTGAAAGGTGACAATTATTGTTTGGTTATTTGACAATGTGTATAGATTTATGATATGTGCTATATTGCTGATCTTACATGAAATTATGATCCGTATGATATTATTGTTTGCATAGCTTGTTTTCATAAATTTCACTATGGTAAGTGAACGGTAAATAATTTTATGATTGATAAATGGATTTGCTAAATTTAGCGTTCAATTAGTTGTTTTTATTTTTATATCCACCTTTATTTATGTGTCAGTGATATACTGTGATATCTTTACTGAACTAGTGTAACTCATTTCTTATTTAACTATTTCAAATCAAGATGACCAGGTTCCAGAGTCTGATCCGCAAGAAGATTGCGAGTAGATATTAGATATTTTTTCGTTTTCCGTTTATTTCCTTATTTCTTATATTTCTTTCAAATGGTGAATTTCATAATACTGTTTAGTACTTTTAAATTATTGTGTAAGAAATGTAAAGTTTAACCCTTTTATTTCGCTTCCGTACTTAGGTTATTATCTATTTCCTTTAAATTTCCGGGGTTGTTACACAAGGGATGTATATTAAAGTGTAGTTCCGCTGTATATTTAATATTTATCTATTTTACTAGTTAGAAATATTGTGCTAACGTTCGTAACACCGACAATAGGTCTCGGGCTGTTATAATATATTTATCATTAAAATATCTATAGTTATTTATATTATTTTTCTCTTGTTATATGTTAAATAATATAATAAACAATAAAATGTAATCTATTTATTATCATTTTAATAGAGTTTTGAAATTATTTATTTTCTATTAATAAATATTTTTTTTAACATTGTTTTAAGGTTAATGAATATATTGCTTATTTCATGCTCTTAAAATTCATTTTAAATTTAAAAAGTAGATATTACATTTCCTAAATTTTTGAAAACCTTCTTTTTTTCTATAACCAATTTACTTAATTACTTCTTTAATATTTTTTAATTAACAATATATATATATATATAAATACTAAAATAATTACAATAAATTTACTATTATTACAAAATGTAATTTATTTTTTGGTTGAATTAATTATAATCTATATGAATATAAAAATTGCTATCAAATATTATAATTAAATTTAATATTGCTCTAATTGTGACAATAATATTCTCGACATAATTATTGGCAAATGCAAACTTACAAAACACTCAAAAATTAATTTGTGTTAGTAGTTTAAGTCCAAAACCGGCAAAAACACAATTAAAATGAAAGATGTGATGGAAATTGGGGCCCATCGATAAAGGTGTTGTGCTTCGTCGGATTCGATGAGACAATTGACAAGTGGCCATCTGATAGCTTCCACGTGGTCCTCGGCTTTGTCGGACCGTCGCAGCATAACGAAACCGTGGGCCAATGAAAACCAGGGGCTCCAAAGGTTGTCTGGTTGATAAAAAAACATTTTTCTAGTTTATAAAATTTCTCATATTATATTATTAAAAATTTAAAAAACGCTTTTATACATTATTTAAAAAATAAAATTATATCGACCTGCTGAATATCATTTTTTCCATAGAGAAAAAAAGCTGATGAGCTCATATATCAAGACCAGCCCATATTATCATATTCTGCATCTCCAGACCCATAATTGATTATCAATTTCCTGGGCCCTATGATGGGCCTGGCCCACTGGAACCATAGATGTCCAAAAATTTTGGTATATATTAAAGAATTAAAAATGAATTTTTTATTTACTTATACTTTTGACCAAGTTTAAGAAGTATATATTATGTAACTCAACGGATCATCAAGTTGATAAAATGCCGTCGAATTTTATGAACAAACGTTTTATATATGTATATATATATTTCATTGCAAAATCATTTAAATAAATTAAAAATAATGAAAATGATAATAATAATAATAATGAAAAAATTCGAAGACTTTTAAAATATTGTCCTTATATTTTAATGTTTTATTCTTAGTTGTTGCAAATAAACACATAATATACTTTTGAACTATTCTCCTTTACGGCCGTCTCCATATCCAGAAGTCTCGTTAGAGATATATCTATATATACATACACATATATTTGTATACTATAACTAATTAGGTTCATGGGTAGCATTTAGCCAGTTCAAGTTCGAATCTCTTGACAATATAAAACTAAAAATTATAGGTCAAGGCTTAATCCATATACACTCAGTATTCATGCTTTTTGTTTCCATATTTATTTAAAACAGATGTGCATACATCTAAAATAAATTTTTTGTTGTTCAAATGTATGAAAATTTCCATCATGTTTCATGCATTATCTATTTTATTTATAAAATAATACTTAAAATGGTTAAATTCATACCAACATCATGGTTAACCTTTTTTATATTTAATTAAAATTTATAAATTTTAACTTTACTAAAAATATATAACTACAATTTTATAAGTGTATTATGAATCACTAATTTATAAACTGTAATGATTGATTCAATAATGTAAAAAAATTTATTGATGTGTTGGTAGATTCGTAGTTATCAATATATATTTAATATTAATAAATTATGAAATATCATTCAATACTAACTGTGTATTAAATTTTTTTCATTTAATATTAAGTTTTAAGTAGTGGAAAATTCATTAAGTTTTGTTTAACTTATGTTATCTTGATTACTTTCATGTTTATACTTATTTATTGTGTTTTATGTTGCGTAGTAAAATTTAAAATTTTAGTATCTAAATAATAAATTATAAAATTTTCTAAAAAGATTCAATAAATTGAATTCAAATAATAGATTAAAAATATTTATTATTAAAAACTTGAAAAATATGAGTTAAATACAAAGAAACCAAATTGTTTGCCAACTTAGTTTTGCATACAAAAATAAAAAAATTAAATAATTTATCTTAAATATTATTTTTTAATAATTGATTGATCCAGTTATCCATTTATCTCGGAAAAAATTGTAGATCAAACACAATTTATATTTTAGCATTTAAGAATTCTTATGTTATATTTAGTTTTTATATAATATAAATAAAAATTAACATTGATAATAATGTACACAACAATGATTTCTTTGAAGAAGTCAATGGCAAAGCGTGACTTATCACAGGAACTGATGTTGATTTTCTTTATAAAAATAATATTTTATACACAGTTGTCCTATCCTGGACTTCCTCAATTGGTTCAGCCGGTTTACAATTTAATTTTAGAAGATTATGATGCAAAATTATATAATATACACAAATCAAAACGACATATCAATTGTGCGTTTTGTCCCGCTCGTGATTGGATACATACTTACTATGAATAACTCATTTTAAAATAAATTAAAGGAGGAATTGTTAGATTAATATTTATAATAATTTTAATTCCGACTATCTTCATTTTTATAATTTATTTTAAATCTTTTTTATTTTAAGCTCGGACAAGTACCGGCCAACTGCCGTTCTTATCAATGCCGCCGGTTCTTGGTTTACACATATCAATCCGAACAACCTTTGTTCCTTTGAGACCCGAAAGAGCATCTCTCCAAGTCAAAAGTCAAAACCCCAGGATATAGACGAGACAAGCGAGTTCTTTTGTCATTCAACCACTCGCAGCCACTCGCGCGTGGATGAAGGTCCGATCTCTTAACACCTAAAATCCATTTCTGATATTTCTGCCTCCTATATTACCGCCATTGCCATTTCTTTGCTTTGCTTTTCCGCAATAAGCAAATCATTGAAAACCCGAATCAAAAAAGTGCTAAACGAATAAAAAAGCTGAAAATACTTTCGATTAACTCATGACCAGCTCCGCCGCAGAGCTCTGCTCCAGATGACGGTCAATCAAAGTAAGTTCAGTCACTGCGGAGCAATCCGGGTCGGTTTCACATTCAACGATGCGGCCACCAAGGTGTCAGTATCAGTACTCGTTTTTCTCCATGTCTTACAGCACGCCGCTGCACAGACAGGAAGCGGAATGGCGCCAACGGACCAGCTCAGTGGCCGACTGGGGCCGCAGTTCAACCCGTTGATGGCCATCATCATGGTGGTCCTGGTGAGCGCGTTCTTCGTCATGGGATTCTTCTCGGTCTACATCCGCCAGTGCATGCAGCGCCGTGTTGGATCCAGAGAGGGCCTCCCTCCCGGAATCGCAGGCGTTGGCCGCCGTTCATGGCGGACGGGTCGTGGGCTGGATCCGTCGGTCATCGAGATGTTCCCTACGTTTCTATATTCCACGGTCAAAGGGCTTAAGATTGGAAAAGGAGTGCTCGAGTGCGCCGTGTGCCTGAACGAGTTCGAAGATGACGAAACGCTGCGTTTGATCCCCAAGTGCAGCCACGTGTTCCATCCTGATTGCATTGACGCCTGGCTCTCTTCTCACACCACGTGTCCCGTTTGCCGAGCCAACCTCGTCCCCAAGCCTGGGGAAATAATCTCTCACCCGGCTGTCACAAATCCTGACCCGGATTCCATTCAGGTTGAACCGGAAAATCGTCTCGACAACAACCAAGGCGCGGTAGGCGTTGGCGATGATCACACGACCGATTTAGAATCACAGAATACTAATTTGATCAACACAACAAGCCCACTGACCAATCACCATTGGCCACGTAGATCGAGATCAACTGGTTGGCGGCTGACTGGATTTTTTACCCGGTCTCACTCAACGGGTCACTCACTAGTTCAACCAGGTGAGGATTGCGAGAGGTTTACACTGAGGTTACCGGACGAGGTACGGAGCCATCTCATGACGTCGACCTTGAATCGAACCAGAAGCTGCGTGGCATTTCCTAGTGCGAGGAGCACGAGGAGGGGTTATAGGGCTGAAAGTGTAAGGAGCTTTTTTCAATACGAGCGGTTCGACCAAGAGAACCGGTTCGGATTTAGCTTGACTCCGCCGTTTTTAACAAGAACTGGATCGGTTCGAGCGGGGAAAATCGGTGGTGGTGAGGAGGTGGGTGTTGGTTCACCGAAGGGTTTGTTCAAACCCAGTAGGTCACCGTTTTGAGCAAATTTAGGTGAAGGGTTGGTGTGGCTATCAGTGGATTTCTCCCAAATTACGTGAATATAAATTTTTATTTCCTTCTTTTTCTTTTTTCATTGTAATTGTGATTTTAGATGACTTTTTTTTTTTTTTTCTTTGTAATTATGATTATTGCTCAATTGATAGGTATATGTGCTTTACCCACTATTAATTCAGTATTAGTAAATTAATATAAGATCAATTTTTATACAATTTACCAAATTTCTTAGTTGAATCAAATGTAAATTGAATGATAAATTGTATAAAATTTCTGAATTTTTTTTTTATAAACTAGGTTTAACAACAATAAATTATTTTTCACATTGTATGGGTTATCAAATACTAATGCTTATCAAATACTAATGATAAATTGCTTACTATTGCTTAAAGTGAACGGTGGTATGCACTAAATGAAAAATTGGACTTTTTTGGTTAAACGAAAATTGATTTTATCTTAATAGATTGTTTTGGAGCACCCTTGACAATGAAATATCCTTTTGACTTTTGACTTTTACCAAAATATAATATTGTATATAATAACTACAAAAAATAGTTATATATTATAATAGCTAAGATAACATAGTTTTATAAAGTTATTGGGAGATCCTTTTCTCTCTCCCCTCACTTTGGTACATTTTTCTCTTCAGATTTGCTTTCTGATTCTTTTTTTTTTTTGTTTCCTTCCTAATCCATTGCATTTCATTTATTCGAATCTTTATTCACCTGGTTTTGAGTTAGAAAGAGAGATTGCAGGAGAAAACTAATACAAATGAAATTGTAGATTCATCATATGAAATTAAGTTTGTCAATTATATCAAAATTTGTTCATGAAATAATTAAAATGTAAAAAATAAGCAAATTATTTCCAGACTTGTGTAGTTTATTATTTTTTTTATCTAACAAATTTATTTATATACATTATCGTTATTCACTTAAAATTAAAAATATGTAGGTAAATGCAAATTATTATAAATAGAAATAAATATATGTTTTAAATAAACCTGTAATAATTACGCCCAAGGGAGAGAAGAGAGCCCAGGCCAAGGTCAGAAAGAAAAAATAAAGAAATAAAAAAAAAAAGAGGAGGAAAAAAAAAACCCTAACAGAACAAGGAGGAGGAGGAGAAGAAGGAGAAAGAAGGAAGCATGGCGCGCAGTGCACACGACATAAAAGAGGATGTCGGGCGCGCAATGTTGGGCATGCAGACGTGCGCTGTCGAAGAAGAAAAAGAAGAAAAGGAGGAAAA